CACTGGGGCAGCTGCACCCTGCTCCCCTCCCACTGCCAGGACACAGCAGGGCCCTAGCATAGTGCACCTGTGCAGCTGGGATCTCACAGCCGTGCAGGGAGACCCTGCTACATGTGCAAATTAAAGCTGGATAGCAACCAGCTACAAAGTTAGTACATATTTTTGAGGTCTAACTTGATAGCTGGTTAGAGCTTTCTATGGTGACAGCTATTTTACACGTGAAGCTGGTCTCAGGGTAACTGTGCAATTAACCAGCTAATTGTGCAATACCTGTAACGTATAGAGGTGACCTAAAAATGAAAAATTTTAGCATGAAAAAATAAAAGATATAAATCAGAGATGCTATTAGAAAGAAACTAAAATAAATACAAAACTTCTACTATAACTATGAAAGAGATTTAAAGAACACTGAAATGAAATACCTTGTTTAATTTATTTGAATATTTTTTATAAGGATTAAGACTTCCCCCTTCCCTCCACCTCTACTTTCTGTTCAAGCCTCTGTGATTAAACAGGCTCAAGCCTCCTAAAGAAGCTAGATAAAAGACAAACCTTCAAAACGAAACCAAAAAACAAAACAAAAGGAAAAAACCCCACAACTCCCCCTCCCCCCCAAACATTTTCCTTGGGACAGAACGCCTTTTAACTGACCTACACAAGTTTTCCTGCATCCTCCTTTGCAAAAGCTGATACTGACTACTATCTATGATGAAGTAGTAAACTAGGACAACACTAGTTTATTCAAGTCTGCAAATTCTTATTTTTCTACTCTCCATTTGTCTGACAACTGAGGTCTGATCCAGATCCTCAACTTGATAAAGAAACACTGATTAAGGTTCAGGCTGCACTATAAACTGGAACCTTATGTAACTATGCAAAAGGACAACCAGATTCACCAAGAAGATAGCAGATGTAGGCGAGAATTGATGTAGCATTTTCCTGCAACTCAAGAAGACTAAAGGCTGGGAACATGACCTGCAAGTCAAAGAACATCTCCTAACAGCTTAATATGCATAAATCCTAAAATTCAAGGACCATACATTTCAAAGAACTTTATGAACAGAGGCAGGTATTGTGACCCTTATTATATAGGTGGGAAAACTGACACATTGAGCTCACAAGGCAGACCAGTAGCATAACCAAAGTTTCTCAAGTTCAAAAAGAAAAAGCACCAGAGAGAGAAAGAACCAAGTGGAATTTCCCGATATCTACACCTCTGCCAAATTAAAAACTGTAATGAGTAAAACAGTTTTTGATCTGCTTGGAGGTCTGTATCACACCACCACTTAGTATTTTTATGCACACATACTCCAAAGAAGGACTATCCAATACCATGGGGTCCGCAACCGGTTGAGGCCCAATGGTTTCCATCCAGGCACCACTCCCCACTCTTCTACCTTTAACTTCCTGCCTCTGCCCTTGGGAGTGGGGCAGGGAGGCCCAAGAAGCCCATACGGGGGCAAAAACAGTGTAGTTTGACAAATTTTAGAAATACATTGATTTTATCCTCAGACTTAGCTAGTAAAATATATTCCCAAACATATTTTACCTGCTCTTGCCACTTCTCTTTTCTTATGACCTGAGTCAAGTAAAAAATATTAAAGAAATTGTTCCTCTCTTAATACTGAACAAAGAATTTCCTTAAAACTATAAGCTTTCTTGCTCCATCCCACAACATCAACCCACAGCCTTCTCCAGCCTTCCTCCTTCCCATATAAATACACAGTAAACCTTCTCTTGTGTGCATGACAGGATTTGGAAAAAGCAAGGCCAAATATTTACCATGTCTCATATCCCCGAACTGCTAAGTCGCCTCTCACGTCATTCAAATTTCTTCTAAATAAATCACTGCTGGCAATGATTTTTACAAGATATCAAAGGCCAGACACCACAAGATGAGTATGAATAAGCAAATCATTGCTCAACTACGTTTCTGTAATCTTGTGCATCGCCACTCGTTTTCTTTCAACCTTGCTTGAATTTGAGGCCAAATTAAGTTAATTTGTCCAAGTGCTCTGCTAGGTATTAAAACAGCTAGCCTCACTGACATGATACAGCAAAACAGGAGGTTACTGCAACATATTTGAGCAGCTGGCATCACAGACTGTGCTGTGTTAATCAAAATCTTTTTAGATGTACTTTCTAAGAAATCTCAGCTTTCCACCTCATTAATATGAATGAAGATATGCAGTCATTGCCATTTTGATTGAAGAAAACCAAACAACCAACCCTGTTCAACAGGTACTTTAGAATTCCTTTTTCTCTCTCATCTTCCCCAAATACAGTGACTCTGCCTTACACAATAACTTTTTTGAGGGCATAGATGTTAACACAAAGATAAAATTACAAGTAATATCAATTTACAGAAAGTTTCTACAACACAAGTCCATACAGCACCTTATCTGGAGGCATAATTGAAATATGACATTTGTAGCCAGTTAATTTTAAGGGGTCTTATATTTTTGTTTTGTTTTGGGGGGGGGGTAGAGAGCAGTAGGATATCAATGGAGAAAGAAAGAAGTTTAAAAATCTTAAGGGGGCAGGGGCTAAGGAATGATGAAAGAAATGTCCTGCAGGACCCAGCATCCAATACAACCGTTGATTTATTTAGTATTAGTAATCAATGCTTTAGTATCAGGGGTGCCAAGGCAATCTCTTTCCTGGACTGAAAGAGATGGGTGATCATGAATTTGCTTTGTAGCTAGCTGTGATGTATTCTGGATGAGAGGATGAGTATGCGTTCTGGTCTCCATTTCCCAATCTGAAAAATTGGTTCTTCACTGCAAAACTAGTCTCAGCATGGAGTTACACAATCACCACCACTCAGGCCATGTCTACAGTACAGCCTGCTACAACTGGTGCAAACCAGTTCACATGGTACTGAAAGTACTTTAGAATGTCTGAACTAGTAGACAGATGAGCACAACAGTCTTTGATTGCACAGCTATTCAGCTGTAAGTCATTTTTGTCCAATAAACCGACTCTGACAACACACTTGTACCTACGGTCAGTTCCACTTTCCACTGGCACAATATGCCAGATGTGAAATTCAAACCATCTAGCAACAAACAGCCAGGGTTTGGGAAACATTATTAAGGCAGACTAACAAAGAATTAAGCTTACTATCACAGAGGGAAAAGGGCCTCTGCCAGTGAGAACCAGGAGCCACACCCAGCAAGAAGCACAGCTTCCCAGCTACCCGAGTGTCGCTGAATGGAGCCCCAAGAAACCTCTTCTGTGGATCCACCTCTGGCATCTGATGAATATGAAATGCTCTCATTTCAGTTCCTGGAAAGAGGAAAAAGCAGCTCTCCTTCAGGTTTTTCCATTGCTTTGTATTGCTCAAGGTTTCTGTTAAGTCATCCTTGCTGAGTCTTTTGAACTTGTATCTTACATATCAACAGTGAGTCTGATTTAATGATAAATTGTGTCACTGCTCTGCATAGGACTCTGAAAGGCAGCTGTGAAACTGGCCAGAGTTATCTTGAACATACCCAGGATTCTGCCTGGCAGGCATCAGCAGATGCAGATTTAGGCACACAGTTTGCAGATTTAGGAAAATGACACAGTCTCTTTTTATCCTTTGCAGTGTGGGGGATTTCCTCTACCATCACAGAAACGAGGTAGAATTCCTTTCCTAAAAGAAATAGCTTTGATTTTCTAGAGCCTGGTGGTAGAGAGCCCTTTCTGAAGATAGAAAAAAAATCTCAAAAGCAAATTTTTCAAGCTTTGATCTGGACGTCTTCATTTCAAAAGCCTTAGCAGTACATAATTAGCAGTAAGTTATGACTGAAAAAACAATAAAGGCTATACTAAAAAATGATAATTGCAGATTAATGTAAATATTGTAGATTATTTTTATTAAATGAGAATGATTTCCAAGTTGAAAACATTTGTAAGGAGGCAAGCAGCCAATTCAGCTTTGGTCTGAATGGATTCCTCAGTAAAGTCAGCTAGACATTTTGCTGCCAGAACTAACCTGAAGTGGCAAGTATCCATGTTAACTTCTTAAAGTTTAACCTTTGAGATCAAATATTTAGGTTGTGCTATATGAAAAAAAAAAAAAAAAAAAAAATCGCAGATCAGTTCAAAATCAAGTCAGGTCCTACTGTATTTCCATGCCTACATTCAAATATAAGACTGTATTACGCCTATATAACTCCCTCATCTTATATTAATTGCAGTGTAAAGGTCAGGCACACAGTTCAACTTCCTAGTCACTGACAGGCTGCAATGCGTTCAGCAGTGCTTCAGAAAACAATGTAGTCAGCGACCATGTCTATCAGAGCACCAAATGAAATCTCTGAACAAACTGCTTACGAAATCAAGAAGGATGTTAAAAGATTTGACTGTCAATAGGACCATTCAAATCTCTGGCACAGGGAAAAAAGAGGACCTTTGTCTATGGCAACAGCAGATACAATACTCATTTTAAACAAATACAGTAAAAAGACAAATATTTTTCAAACAATTTTTAAATTTCCTAAGACTTCCCGCCCCTCCACCATGCACTAAACAAGGCAACAAACAGGCTGGCTCAAGTCCTGGCTGCATTTTGGAAGACAAACAGGAGGAATATATGGATATCATAGATGCAAGGACAAGTCAGCTTTTCGACCAGCCACCTTGGACAGTTTCTCTTTAAATACTGAGTTAGGCAACCACGTTTCCTGGAGTGCAGCCACATACCTGTTACTGGTAGCCTACCCGGCAGCCAGAGAGACTTAATTTCTCTTCTGAACTATACAAGTCACAAGAACACAAGTGAGATAGCTGTCTTTCTGAAATGGGCTGTGTGACAGTCACGGCTGCAACTCTGTTACTAAAGGAGGACGACAGCTGAGGGTAGTTACCTCGGCCGGACCACACGCACACACACAAGAGAGCCAATGAGGCTCCGAAAGGGGTATAAGAAGGCGAGGAAGACAGAAGGAAGTTGCCTTCGGGCACCTCTACACTGTGAGAGAAGCGGGCGAGAAGGTCAAGAGATTGGGACTCACTCCGCAGACGGCGAACGGTGGATCGACGTCCTTGGAGTCACGGTCAGCCCGAATAAACAACTGTTGCGGTGAGTCCCGGGGAGACAGAGGAGTGACGTGGTGAAAGCCGCGGCTCCGAGTCAGGGCGCAGCAGGACTACCTGAGAGAGAAGGGCGTGGGGAAGGAACTCCCTATCCGGTCCGGGAGAAGCAGGGACCCCACCCCTCATCCCGAGAGAGAGAGTGAAAAGGAAAGCGAGAAGAAGATAAAACAGGAGAGAACAGCCGACAGAATGAAGCCAGGGAAGCCCGTTATCTGCGTTAATCAGTCGCTAATGAGGCAATTAGCGGCTGATCGCGGAACCCGCCTCTGATGTTTTGACTGCTGAGCCAGAGCCTAGGTACTCCAGATAGGCCCCGGGCGGGGGCCTGGCAACGTTGTTAAATTGGGGGGGGGGAAAACAACACTCGTGCTCCCCACGAGAGAGGGAGGGGAGAACATATTAAGAGTAATAAAGCACCTAAATCAGAACTCGAGCTTGCGTGGTCATTAGCGTGGGTACCCGCGGTACTAACACCACCTCCTTCACCCCAATCTTTGTTAAAGATCGAAGTCGTGGCAGGCGAGAATAGCGGGGTATGGGGGTACCCAACTCGAACCCTCTGACAGGCTGCTTAATGTTTTGGTCACCCAGTAGATTAGGAACGTTGGTAAATGTTTTGGTTTCAGTTATCTCATTATTTAGAAATTAAATGGAAGAAGACAGGAAAATATTACACTTCTACTTTCCATTATTTATAAAGGAACGCATCATGTTTGCTGATCAGGCTGTTTGCTCCAAATGAAAACCACAATGTTTCATTAACAAGTCCATAGTAAGATGACTTCCCTTTCCTCAGGACAAACATGTGAGCTATTTAAAACATGGGTGCAGGTACCTTTTATTGCATGTCATGCAAATACAGTCTCAAGTTTTTCTAACATTACAGTTATTACCAAAGTCTTACTTCTGCAATTCTTAGCCATACTCAATAGCACTTATGCAATAAAAGTAATCTCAATGAAGTTACTCTAGAGTCTTAGAGGAGGAGCTTTCTGCATGAAAGTATATAGGTTTTGGAATCAGACAAACCGTGCATTTAACTTGCACGAATTCAACTACACGCAGGTGGGGGGGCGGAGCTTGAGTCTGCACGTGGCACTGCCGCTTACCTGTGTCAGAGCAGAGCTTAGTGATTGAGTGCCTCGGCACAGTGGAACTTTCTAGCACAAGGCACGGTGAGATTTTTTGTACGAGGGGAATTTCTTGCCACGGTGGAGATTATTGGCAGGTTCTAAATTAGTCCTATGTGGCAACTAGCAATTGGCTTGCTAGCCGTATAAAAGGTTGGAGCAGTTTCCGCCCAAGTGGGAGAACTCCGCATCCATCTCGGAGTTAACGTGGCGGACTGATCAACCGCCGACGACTCCCCGTCGCCGACCGACCCCGACGTACCCCCCTGTGTCCTGCATGCTCGTATCGAAGATATCTCGTTGAATTAGAGCTCTCGGTTAAACTGTAACTGAAGTTTGAAGTTAACTTTCTTCCTACGCTGTACATCTCGACAGTGTAAGTAAAGCCATCTTTGTTTGAACCAGTACACGTTTGTGCCTAATTCTACTCCAGCGGTTGAAAGTACCCATCTGTACGTGCCGGGTTTGTGGCCACAACCCAGCCGACCCTTTCCCGGATCCCCCTTGGGCCCCACAACCTGGAGGCCTGGCCACCACCACGCTACTAGCGGTGACTGCCTCTGCCTCCAAAACCTCCCG